TATTTGAAAACGGAAAATATTGAAATCATTTAACAAAAATTTATATTCAAAACAGAATTTAGAAAATAGTTCCCATACCCAAAATTTTCGATACATGTAAAAAGTATTTTTACAATACAATAAATAATTTGATGGATAATAAAGTTCGAGAGTTAAACCTAAGCTTTGATACCACTAAATATAACCCCATAGACTCGACCTGAACATCATGGCCGAATCTTGAAGACCAAGACATCGCTAGATTGAACAGAAATCAAGAATAACTCATGTTTTGCCATGCATCGTTGTTAAATCGTCAAAAGAATTCAAGGGTTCTTTGTACTTAAAAACATACAACGAGTTCTAAATTCGAAAACAATATGAAAATCCTTATCCCAAGTTCCATAAAAAGGAAATACACAATATATATATATATAATCAACAGAAAATAACTAATAAAAATTTCAAAAAGAAAACGTCTATACGATGTTTGAAAGAGAATGGTAATAAATAATCCTCCAGGTACCGATCATAAATCCCAAAAGTTTGAATAATCTGAAAAGACAAAAACTAGAAAATGAGCTACGAAACCCAGTGTGCCCTCTAAAGTAAAGTAGATATCCAAGCATATGCAAAACAATGCAATTAATGTATAACATTAAATCTGAATTTAATGAACAGAAAGCAGCACCAATGGCACCCTACTTTACCTTTCGCTACAGATAAATAGAATGAGGATATAATCTCATACATATGTCAGAAAGGGAACTAGTCCCATATAGATGTCAGAACGGGGAATTAATATCATGCATATGTCAGAACGAGGAATTAATCCTATGTGGATGTCAGAACGGGGAATTAATCCTATGCAGATGTCAAGACTGGAATTAATCTCATACAAATCGGAAATACATCAATAAGCAGATAAAAAGTAGTGCAACATTATTCAAAAATATGAATGATAAAGGTAAGTGTAACCAAATCACAAACATATTTTAAACAGAAGTATTAACATAACATTCTAACATATCTGAGTATCAATTAGGTAAAGAATACACACCTAAAAAAGATAACCGATGTCAGCTAAGCCTTACGCTTTCCACGGTCAGTAGTACTAGGTATTGCAAATCAAGAACGCGTATCTCGGGACGAGTGACCAGAATATAACTGAGGAGGGCGGGACTGATCAGGGTCAACTAGAGAGTGCTCGAAAGATGCAAGGGTACCTTTAGAAAATTAAACCCAAAAGTGAATTCAAAACTCCACACTTAACATAATAAAGATTTAATACTGAAGATGAGGTAAAACCGAGCTTTTGGGTCAGAATTTGGTCAAACGTACTCAAGACGTCGAAAAACATAAAGATAAAGGTTTTTGAAAAAAGTCAAAGTGTCAAAGTCAACGGTCAAAATCAATGGTCTGGTCAACAGGTTGACTGGTTCAACGGTCGAGTCAACGGGTTGATCGGTTCAGCCAGTTAGGTTCAGCAGCAAACCAGTTCAACCACTTTTGAATTTAAAACGCCTGGATTTAAGACGTTGGCTGTGAGAGTCATGATGGCCGAAACGGAGACCAAACGGAGGGAAAACACAATAATACAAGAAAGAGAGAAAAACTGTTTGAGGAAATTAATTTCACATAACATGGGAAAAAGAGTGGAAAAAGGAAGGGATTTTAGGTTTTAAACCCAACCATACGCAAAATTATGCCCTAAGCTCCTGATCTTCTAGAAATTAATGCTTAAGCATTATTATTATTTTTTAAACCTTTTAATTTAACTCATAACAACTGGGGTGTGACATTATTCAACTATAATTTATATCTTTCAAGGATCTCAATTTATTGTCATCTTTATTATTAAATTTTAAAAATCATCGAACTCATTTAGTTTAAATTCATTGGTGTTGATATATATCTAATATTTCCATCGTGGCATTAAATATGAAGCAACTTATTATATCTTTACGTATCAAAAGTGATTTTTTTTTTCAATCTTGATAACTTTAAGAGATTTATGCCTAAATTAAATTATCTCAATAATTATGGAATTTGTTGTTATTTTCCGAGATGTCTGGTTCAAACATCGAGTATATAAGAGTACGTTCATTCATTGTCAAATGATTGAGAGACTTTGAATATATATTATCTTGTATTTATCTCAGGTTTATCAAAAAAAACTTTTAAAGATTTATGAATTCATCAAGTGGCCTATGTGAAAAAAATAATATTATTCTTTTTAGAGGTCGTGAATTCGAGTAACCAGGTATATCTATTAATTAAGCAAATTCTAAACAAATATTGCTTTATATACCTCAAACTATTTTTTAAGATTTATATACTAACAAGGAGTTAAAGGTGTCCTATTATTTTTGTTATGAGAAATATCATTTTAATCTTTGATTTCAATCTTTTTATATTTTCGGATTTAAATTTTTAAAATTTTTGTACATAAATATGTCATTATTTAAAAAGATTTAATGCATATTCTTTTACCGTATAGAGATATTTTTTTTTCATTTTAATTCTTGTAATTTTATCTTTATGGTGCAAAATAATACTACAATTAAATCAAACTCGTCGACAGTTGCAATCGACCCCTATGTTATTGATAATAAGTTAAAAACAAACATACATTATATTTTATAATAAGCTAAACACACATTTTTAATTTTTTAAAATTTCCATTTTGTATCAATATAATTTTAATATCCTTTTAAAAATTTACAATATAGTTACAGTCTAAGCCTGAATATATATTTTTTAATTTTCTTCTTTAAAACTTACCGTTTCCTCTTAAAAGGATAATTTCTGAATTTTTTTATTTATTCTATGTACTATATACTTTCATCTTCTTGGTGTAATCCCAAATGTGCTTTATTTTTTATGATTTTCGATGCATGATTAACTTGTTAAAACTCATCATTTCCACTAAAAGCTGTGATATTTGAAAATTTCGATTTTAATTCATACACAGTGTTATTAAAATCGGACCGGATTGGCCGGTTCGACCGGTTAAATCGAGAACCAGTTGCTTATCCGGTCCGGTTATCCTATAAAACCAGTGTTGCAACGAACCGGTAGAACCGGTTAAGAACCGAAAAAACCGGTGTGAACCGGCCGGTTCTGTTTTTTTTTAATAAATATTTTTAAATATGTATTTTCTAATATAATAAGATTATCAATCCATTTTAATTTTAATTTATTCTTATTTTAAATTTAATTATAATATAATAAATATTTTATTTATTCAAAATTTCACTGAAATGAAAAGAAAACCAGTATATCATATATTTTTTATTGAAAATAAAATTAATATTAAATATAGTACTAAATATAATTGAACTTTAATATATTTTATAACTTATTATATTTTTAATCAAAAAACAATTTATTATATTTAAAATTGCTTACTTTACGATTACCGTATACAAGTTATGAGGATACATCGGCCTCGTACTCTGTGTAGGTGTAAATACAATCGGCACCAAATTTAGAGGTTTGTTTTTGAATGAACGATTATCAATAATCATTAAATCATCCTCAATTAAATCTACAAACTTTTGTCTAAAGCAAATGTTATTCTATAAATAACAAACACGACAATTCCAATGGAGAATCTTTTTCCCGTCAATAAACACTTTAACTTATTTTGGGGCTTTAATTAGGGTAAAGTTTAAAAATATAAATCCAGCCCTAAATTTATTTTCTGATTATGATGATTGATACTTGTATCAATTATATATTTTTTTATTTAGTTGTTGATGATTTTCATTAGATATTGACCTTAAATGTTATATTTTATTGATTTGAATCATTTTGTTTCACTTGATTTTATGGTATTTAATTTATATATGTTATGACTTGTGATATTTTTATACCTTTTAATATTGTAAACTTAAAAAAAGTGTTATATATATATATTAATATTGCTTTGAATATTATGTAAAATTTTAAAAAAAATATTATTTTATATAAAATTCGGTTGAACCGTGGTTGAATCCGGTTGAACCAGTGAACCAGTACCTTCACCGATTCAAAGTCCGATCCGATTTTAAAAACATTGTTCATACACTTCTATTCCCTTTCATTTTAATCTTAAACTTAAAAAAAATCATTCACTTTGCTCAAAATCTAGTGATTACATCACTATAACATCTATACTAGATCACTGTACTATTTTTTTATTAATTTAAAACAAGTAAAATACAATATCGGTTTAAAAATAACTCTCAACCATTTGATATTTAACGTTTTATATTTCTTACATTCCTAGTGTTCAAATTCAAAACCCAAAAAAATAACAAGAATTTTTTTATCAACGATATCGTTTTGATTCGTGATGAATACTACACTAGATAATCCAAATCCAATCCATTTCTCTATTTTATTTTCCTTGTAACGGTAATATCACAGAATTTGGGTTGTTAAAAAAGAAACCAAATGCAAGGCAGTCTGTGAATGTGAAGCTAATAATTGGGTGCTTATGGAGTTCCGTGCACTACCTTCTCTTTTCAGCTTTAGATTCATCCATTTCCCACCTTATTTACCAATCTACCCTTCTTTCCTCCTTCCCAATTCCAAGGCGATCGGTCCACCTGAATTCTTTATTGTTTTGCGTTTTCTTTGACTGGAGGCAAAACATCCTACTTTATGTTGAAGGAGTCTTAGTCTTCAGCCATTAACTCTTTAAATAGGGTAACGTAAGCAGTCTAAACTTGGAAACTTACAGTAATGTTTTTGTGCCTTTTACGAACGGCGTGATTGTCTTTTACTCTCTATCTCTTTTTTTTATTACACGACAAGATAAGATTACCCTCCAAAAAAACAATTGTAGGCGTGGGTTGGCTTCGTTGGTGCTCTGTTGTGTCTGAATCACTCTTTGTTTTGTATTGTTGTGGAAAGGTGAGAAAGAGCAAAGCCTGGGTTTTTGTCAGACACCTTATAAAAAAAATAAAGGTTGGATTTTGCAAATCCGTCATCTTTTATTTTGTGTTATGTCTAGTGTTGGAGGGAGGAAACCAGCCTCAACTCAGTGAGTCGGTTGGCATTAATCAGAGTAGGAGGAGTCCTACAAAAATGGTCACATTCTCGGACAACACCTCCCTCTCTTCTTCAAACAATGCTTCCCCGGCTCCCAAGTTCGCTAACTCCTCCACCACTCGGTAATCTCTCTCGAACAATGTTCGGTTCCATCTTTCTGGTGCTATATTACTGACTGCAACTTGTTCTTTCAGAATCTTTTTGGATGTTGCTGGGGATATCACCATTGCTGTTGATGGAGAATCTTTTCTACTTCATAAGGTAAGCACTGGATCACTGTTTTTTTTTTTTGGGTACAACAAGCTTGAATGTGTGAATTTAACCCCTTTTTTTGTACTTCTTAAGTTTCCATTGGTATCTCGAAGTGGAAAGATTCGGAAAATGGTTGCCAATGGTAAGGATTACAATGTTTCAAAACTGGAACTCGTTAACTTCCCTGGAGGACCTCAGACATTCGAACTTGCCATGAAATTTTGCTACGGTATGAACTTCGAGATTACCACCGCAAACGCCGCCCTCCTACGCTGTGCTGCCGAGTATTTGGAAATGACAGAAGACTACCGGGACGAAAATCTTATTGCACGAACCGAAGTTTACTTGAATGAGGTTGTAGCCCATAGTCTTGAGAAGTGTGTGGAAGTACTTTGTACTTGCGAGACACTGCCTCCAATAGCTGAGGAACTGGGAATTACAGATAGATGTGTGGATGCCATTGCCATGAATGCTTGCAAGGAGCAATTGGTTTCAGGTTTGTCTGGTTTGGACTGTGATGGTGAATCTACAGAACTTAAGTCTGGTTGTCTCGAATGGTGGATCGAAGATCTTTCTGTTCTAAGGATTGATTATTATCACAAGGTTATTATTGCCATGGGCAGAATAGGTGTTAGACCAGACAGTATTGTGGAATCATTGATGCATTATGCTCAAGCATCATTGAAAGGTATCGGAAAATGTCAGATTTTGAATCCAGTGAGAACGAAACCGATCTCTGCCACTGCTGAAAATGAGCAGAGGACAATTGTGGAAACCATTGTAAGCCTCCTGCCAGAAGTGAAGAGCTCTTCTATTCCATTGAGTTTCCTGTTTGGGATGCTAAGGATGGGAATTATGGTGGAAGCTAAGGTCGCCTGCAGGCTCGAGCTTGAGAGTAGAATAGCTTTTAGATTAGAAATCGTTTCACTTGATGATCTGCTCATACCGTCTCTCAGTGCCGGGGATTCTCTATTCGATGTTGATACTGTCCACCGGATACTCATAAATTTCCTGCAGCAGATTGAAGATGAAGAAAATGAAGACTGTGGTGGATATGAGTCCGATGGGGGCCATGGTTCTTTGTTGAAGGTGGGACGGCTTATCGACTCGTATTTAGCTGAAATTGCCCCTGATCCTTATTTAAGTTTGCAGAAATTCATTGCCATGATAGAAATATTACCGGATTATGCTCGGGTTATCGATGATGGTCTTTACAGAGCAATTGATATATACTTAAAGGTAAGTTTCCTTTAACAAGTACATCAAATGCTATTTATGCACGCAATAATCAAATAATGCATTTAAAAATTTTCAATTAGGCTCATCCAATGCTAAGTGATCATGAGTGTAAGAAGCTGTGCAGAGTCATAGACTGCCAGAAACTGTCTCAAGAAGCAAGCAACCATGCTGCACAAAATGAGCGACTTCCGGTACAGATGGCAGTTCGGGTCCTATACTTCGAGCAGCTGCGATTGAAGAATGCCTTGTGTACACGCAGTGGGGATGGATTACTGTCCCAGAAAATAAGCAGTGGAGTCCCGAGTGCAGCCATGTCGCCTCGCGATAATTATGCATCTCTAAGAAGAGAAAACCGAGAACTGAAGCTGGAGATATCGAGAATGAGAGTAAGGTTGAGTGAGTTGGAGAAAGAGCAGGTGGTGATGAAACGTGGGATGATGGACAAGTCGGGAAATGGGAAAACATTCTTCAACTCTCTTTCGAAAGGGATAGGAAGGATCGGGATATTTAGCGGTCCCGGTGAAGGAAAACACCAAAAATCAGGCCGCAAGTCTCGAGGATCAGAGGCGAAAACTGGAAGGAGTCGGAGGTATCCGTAAAACATTCACTTGCTTGCTTGTATTTAGTAGTAGGAAGTAGGACTTGAAGCCTCTCATTTCTGAAAGTATGTATGTATGTATATACATGCATATGGAGATTTGTATATTTTGATCGCTTGACAATGGCAATTAACTAATTAACAAGTTTACCAGAACCGACATATTTCAATTTATTTATCTTTGAAAGACCATGCAAAATTAAGCAACATTAGAACAATTCATACCATATAATTTATTCTTATTTTATATATATAGTGAAGGTCATGCACCTCCTTCTCCCACCAGACGCCTTCGAATCTGCATGAACACATAAATAAGAAGCATTAATTTCCTTTGTAACCGTACTTGCAGCAGCAGTAGGGTAGATATATATATATACAGCAGGTAGTTTCTGTTTGAAAGCAACTTCAAGGCGTGCATCTAAAGTGTTCTTGAAAACAATCTTCCCGTCTTCCGAAGCTAACACAACGCCGCCGGAGCTATACATCATCGTTCAACCTAAGATATATGATGATACAAATCGAGCAGTTTATAGAAATCAAGATTAGCTGATACCAATAAGGTTGATGGGCGAAATAGTTTGCGTCTCCGGGAGGAGGCGGTGAGAGGCTCACATTGTCGATGGCAATCTTTGGGGGGGGTACATTGAATTTCTCGGCATACTCTCGTTTAGCTTCATTGATGATAGACTCGACCAGCTTACGATCCACCTTTCGGCACCTCAGTATCACCGATGGCTCCCTCAGCGGAGCCAGACTCTGCACCACCAGAGCCTTGACTAGGTTCTTGTATCCCCTCTTGTCATTTCCCAGACGCTGCAGTTCCTTTCTCGCAGTTTCTTTTATGGAGTTCACCAACTCGTCCTGCGCTTGCAGCACTTTGATCCTCGACGCGTTCAACTGCATCGAGTACTCTCTGCAGTGCACATTCATTCATTCATTCCATCATATATCAATTCAACAATACAAATACTCGCATTTTCTTTCGTATTTCCACCTGCTTTCCCTTGCGCTCATACTCTTGTTTTATCTTTTTCCTCTCAGCTTCTACTATTTGTAGCTTTTCAATGTTGAATTCCTGGGGATGAACATTTTATTTATAAAATAAGATTTCAAATGAAATTTATATCAAACAAAGTAAACAAGAAGCATAACGACCTCTTCAGCAGACGCGGCTATCTCATTGGCTTTCTCCTCGGTCTCTTGGCAGATGAATCTGGCCATCTGCTGGATTTGCTTCGACACATCTCGTCGTTCATTCTTTCTTCTCTTCCTTGCCTGATTGGTTTTGTTGATTTACGAATTCAAATCAATCTCATATAGGATTCCGTGGAAGAAAGGGACTCTTTCTCCTTTTGTCTTTTATATTTTCTACTTTACCAAGTTAACAAAACTACTTCCTTTCCCTTCCCGAAGCCGAAATTTCCTGCCTTGAATCATTCCAAATTTTGAATGAGACTTTTTATTCAATTTTATCTATAAAAATATATACTTTAACCATTTCTCCCTCGAAAAAATAATATTGCGCAAACTAGACAGAATATTATCAAAATTTAGGTTATGGTATCGATTTTAACTTTAATTTTTTTTCTCAATTTAAGATTTAGTCTTAGGTTCGACTAAAACATTGAATTATTAAATCATTGACAGTCAGATAATGTATGTTAACGTGTAAGTCAAAACATTATTCTTTTATTTCATTTTATCCTTTTCTTTGTCAAAGTTAGTTTTTTTTCCTTCATCTAGTTTTAGTTGTTTCAAAAGATAGTCATTTTTTATGTCTTTTACTACCATCCTTGACACATGTAGATTCGTCAAAGTCATCTTGAATATTTTTGAGGTCCTAAGTAAAACTAAAAAACATAGTCTTATAAAATGAAAATATATTTTATTACTTTGAATAATTAATTTAATATCACATTAATAAATTGTAGAAAAATGATTAAACTAAAGGGCTTAAATTATAAAAGTAAAAAAGTACGATTCAAAAACTTAAAGATCTCAATTATAAAGGTAAAAAATGAGATTAAAAAATTTAGGGTCCTCAATTTTAAAGGTAAAAAGTGAGATTGAAAAATCAGGGGTCTCAATTATAAAGGTAAAAAATGTGATTAATAAATTAGGGGCCTCAATTATAAAGGTAGAAAGTGAGATTGAAAAATTTAGGAGCTCAATTATAAAGGTAAAAAGTAGGATTGAAAAAATTAGGGCTATCAATCATAAATGTAAAAGAGTGGGATTAAAAAAATTAAAGGCATCAATTATAAAGATAAAAGTAGGATTACAAAAATTAGAGGCCTCAATTATTACGATAAAAACAAAATTGAAGAAAATTAAAAGACTCAATTATAAAAATAAAGAATATATATTGAAAAAATAAGGGCCTTATAAAAAAATAGGTCCCTGAGCGGTCACTTAGAAAGCATCGTACTCTATCACTTTGTTGGTTTAAATTTTCTCAAAACTTCTTTAAAACACATGAAATGCATAAAAATTTACATTTTTAAGGGGTTTGTGAACTTTCTCGGGTATAAGGGTGTATTGAATGGTGAGATACAATATTCATTTGAGAAGATAACAACACACATTAAAATTAGCATCATCATAAGATTTTAGAGTAAATCAAAGCATTAGAAACCTTTATATAGATTTTCAACAACTTTTAAGTGGTTTTTGTGAAAAATCAAATCGACATGAAGATAAAGTAATGAAATATAAATGGTGAATGACACTGGTGACAGACAACGATTGATCGATAACGATGACCGAAGGAGTTAATAATAACTTCCTACCAAATAATACACAAACTAAAATTTAATGTTTATAGTTTAACAATAAAATCAATATGCAAACTGAAATTCGCGAAGAAGAAATGATTATGTCATCACACCGTCAATGATTTAACACTTCAATGCCCTAATTGAAATAAAATCTATAATTCAGTGTTAACGTCAAAACACATTAAAATTCAGTAGTAAAATGATATATAATCTGAAGTATAATAATAGTCGACATAATTTACCCAGAATTACATAACTCACTTTGTTTGGATCAACTTAATGAGTGGTGTTTTATTAAATTTATTTCGATGGATTACAACATGCGCATAATTTTGTTTTAATAAATGTTCCATTAATATTTATTTATTGTGGTCAGGATTTTGATCCATTAATGTAGTACATTAAGGAACACAATACATAGGATTAGGGAGTTTGAATGTGCGATTGCCCGAGCATTCCCCCTGAAGATCGGTCCATTGGTCCCCAACATTCCCCCATATCCTGTACCCTTGTTCCATTAATTGCTTCCGAATTGCAGACTTGTAAACCACCGCACTCTTCCCTTTGAATGGTTCCGTCCTGGGAAATAAATAGTCAAATTCAAACTCCTGGAAATTTCCCCACATTAACTTAGAAATGAATCTTTATCTTACCTAAAAATCACACTTTCATAGCGCATGAATCCTTGGCTATGCAAATTATCGATGGTGGCCGCGGCTAAGGTATCTTCGTCTCTTCCGGTGATCAAGAACACCTTAAATCCGCTGTCCACCAGCTTCCGAAACAACCCCAGTACAGCAGGGATTGCTGGACACTCCGCCTTCAATACCCATGCCTTGAAACCCCAGGGATCATAGGGCTCACACCTATATACATGCATCAGAATTAGTATAGTTTTGGAATTTGGAAATTAAAATGAAGGAATTATCGGTACCCGTATTTCTTTCTCTTGTAGTAAAGTATATTTGATAAGCAGGTGTCATCTACGTCAAGGATCCAAGCATCCATTGCATCCTCATCCACGGCGACCTGTGCAACGTAATTTTGTATTTGCTCCACGATGTAGTTAATGTCCTGCTCGTATTGCCCGCCGGTCATGTAAGTCTCGATGTGGTGGAGGCAATGAGACGGCACGGTGCGCCATCCGCGGACATTGTTAGCCTCCACGGCCAACTGCCAGGTCAAGCACTCGTTGGACCTGGCAGCTTCCCGCCTCGTTCTCCAGAAGGGCTTAGTGCCGCCAATTGCCTTGGAAAATATTGCTAAGAAGAAAAATATGAATATCTCTCTCTCCCGTTTCACCATTGATGATACCACACGCAGCTCCTGCATAGGCAAAACGCAAGATCAAAATCTTTAGTTCCATTGAACAGAGATTATATATTGGCAATAAAAAAGAAGACATAAAGACCATTATGAGAGTATTGCAAATACAAGCACATGAACAACTCTTGCAGACAAAGATGGTGATGAGGGTGGGCTTCTGGGGTTTATATAGTGATCAATAAACAAGTAAACGGCCATGATATATAGTATTACATACAGGTCTTCCTACACTGCACATTTTAACAGCAATGGCAACCTCAGCGTGATTGCAACACAAAATGATGAAACCAAAACAAAATAAAAATGGGAATCAATGGAAGATGAAAAGTTGAGACTTTGAGAGTGAGAGAGAGAAACGAAAATGTTACCTAATAATCAAATTAAAAGAATGAGATGGAGGATGGAGGGAATGCGGAAAGCTCAAGAGAGAGGCGTCATATATAATAAGGTAGATCAAAGACAGAGGTGAAAGCCAAAAACGTGGGTGGGGTGTCATCAGAGAGCACAAAGAAAGGGAGCAGTGAACTGAAATTTGATGATCAGCGCCAGCGGCAGTGTCGAAGGTCAAAAAGTGGGGTTGGAGTCAGAGCCCATCCACTTCCTCAAAGGACTCGGGTCTGTCCCGGGAGAGCTGTGTATTGCCTCATTCTTTACTACTAGTGTGTGTGTCCATCTTCATTGAGTGCATTATCTGCGATTCTGCTACATTCCACGTCAACAATGTGCCGACCATTCCATGTTCGGTGTACCAATTTCCAACACTTGTTAATTCTCAATTAATTAGGTGGTGGAAATGAGATCTTGACTTGTTAGGCCATAATATTAATTCCCCCCAATGGATGGAGAGTAGACAATTGATTGAATCTCCCACTAATTTGATTGGATCGTCGAGGAGAAAAGTGGTAATTAATTACATAGATGGACCATTACCATAAAAACATATATGCGTTGGAAACACGTGTAGCATCTAGCCATATATTCTTTGCACATTCAGGAAACTAGATTTATCAATCTTTATCTAAATTCAATTTTTTTATTTGATTAATGTAAGATAATTCATTTAAATTTACTAAAATAACAAAGTCAAGCATATTGGATTGGATGATTGTGATAACAATAATGGAAGATGAGATAATAGAAGAAAATCATTTACGTATATCCAACAAAATTATACTAATCGCATCTCCCACTAAATGATTCCTAAAATCAAAGTCAACCACCGAATCTCTACCAATTGATTCCACACTATATGTTATTTAGGCACTAACAAATATAGATGGGCTCTTTTTTTAAATTTTTAAAAAAAATAAGATTATGATAGATTCACTAGTCAAATAAGCATTATTAATATCTTTCTATATACATGTTGTACAAATACATTTAAGATTATTATAAGTAAAATATAATTATGAACGATTGGTGATAGTTTGTGTTAGTAATGCCCAATCCTACATTGAGTGAGTAAATACATTGGGATTGGGTATTTAAGGTTTACATTTTCCACTCTCTTGTTGAGTGATAGAGAACATGGGAGCTTCTCGCGCACAGTCGCCGTCCGGCTCGAGTCGTGGTTGTAGTTGTGGTTCATATCCTTGTTCAAGATAAAGAACAAGTTGTTAATGGGCCCGGTTACAAGAGTTACAATTACAAATGGGTTGGATTTTACAGAATGAATCTGCTCGTGCTCGTGATAACAAATTGTTTGACATGTTCCTTAGAGAAAGAAGTGCCAAAGTGATCTGGGACACTCTAGAGAAGAAGTATGTCACTGACGATGCGAGCATAAAGAAATACATTATCGTAGAATGGCTCAAATTCCAAATGACGGACGATAAGCCCATAATAGATCAAGTCCATGACTATCAGAATCTGGAGGCCGACATCGTTGCCGAAGGAATGCAATTGTGTGAAGTACTCCAAGCCAATGTCCTTATCGACAAGCTGCCAAAGTGCTAGTCCGACTACTTCAATTCTCTCAAGCATAAGAATAGAGATATTTCACTTGAGGAACTGGTAGGCCACATGAAAATCGAGGAGGCCAATCATCTAAAGGATAAGGTTACGAGTTCTTTTAGTCATATGTCTTTTAAATCTAACTTGGTTGAATCTGGTGGTGTCTCAGGGTCTAAGTTAAAAAAGACAATCAAATGAGGGGATCTGAACAAAAAGATAAAACCTATAAAGGGCACAAATTTCAAGAAACCAAGAAAGGCCAAAGATGATGGAAAAACTCTCAAGTGCTATGTTTACGGTTTAGCTGGTCACAAAGCCTATCAATGCCAACACCGCTCAGACTGCCATAATGACAACAAGCCACAAATACTTGTTACGGAGAATGATGATGACATCATTGCTGCAGTGGTTTCTGAAGTCAACCTGGTGGAGAATAGTTCTGAGTGGGTGGTTGATAATGGTGCTTCCAAACACTTCTGGGTAAGGAAAGATTTTTTCACCGAGTTCGAGGATGGGAACGGAGGTGAACGAGTGTACAAGGGGAACTTCAGCAGTTTTGAAATGCTAGGCAAAGGCAAGGTTTTACTCAAGCTGACTTCTGGTAAAACTTTGGCCTTAAATAATGTTCTGTATGTACCTGCCTTGCATAGAAATTTAATAAGTGGGGGTTTCTGAATAAGGCATGCATTAAGTTAGTTTTTGAGGTATATAAACTTATAATTTCCTGAAACGGTGATTATGTAGGCAAAAGTTTTTTAAATGAGGGTTTATTTGTCGTAGAAACTCAACTTAATAAGAATAAATCTACATTTCTACTTATATTGTTGAATCTGTTGATATGTGGCATGCTAGATTAGGACACATTAACATTCACGCTTTAAACAAATTGATAAAAATGAATGTTCTGCCTAAACTAGACATAACTAGCTTTAATAAATGTGAAATTTTTGTAGAAGTCAAGCATGCTAAACCTCACTTTAAGACTGTTTCTAAGAGAAAGACTGAATTGTTAGAACTCATTCATACTGATCTAACAGACTTTAGAAACACTGCAGTAAAGGAGGAAAACACTACTATATAACCTTTATAGATGATTACTCGAGATACATAAAGGTTTGTCTCCTTAGATCTAAAAACGAGGTTGAAAACTTCTTTCTTATTTATAAGGCAGAAGTTGAGAATCAGTTACATAGGAGAATCAAATGACTTAGATCTGATAGAGGTGGTGAATACGAATCAAATTTCTTAAAAGAGGTGTGTGAGAAGAATGACATAATTCACGAAACTTCATCCCCTTATTTTCCTCAACAAAACGGTATAGCCGAAAGGAAAAATATAACATTAAAAGAGATGATGAGCTCATTGTTGATAATTTATGGGTTATTTGATAACATGTGGGGGCACACCATTCTATCGGTCAATCATATCTTGAACCAAGTACCTCATAAGAAATTAGATTATACTTCATACGAGTTATGGAAATGATACACTTTAAATCTAAAATACTTGAAAGTTTGGGGGTGTCTAGCTTAAGTGGGATTGCCGGACTTTAAGAAGTCCACTATCGAACCTAAAACCGTTGATGCAATGTTCATAGGGTATGTTACAAACATCGCCACAAACAAATTCATGCTTCTACAATGAATTGAGAGATGTTGTTTTCTTTGATAATAATTTTCCCTTAAAGTAACCTAAACTAAATGAAGAAACACAAATAAAAAAGCATTCCATCCACTTCTTCTAGTGTACCTGCTAGGTCTACTCAAGAAATTAAATTTGAACGTAGAAGAGGTAAAAGACAAAGAACTGAAACCTCTTTTGGACCAGGCTTCATAACTTCATTTGTTGTTGAGATAAATGATTTATACTCTTTTTCTGATCTTATAGCTCAAATATTTCTATTAGATGAGGATCCTAAGACTTATGAGGAAACTATACGATCCATCGATACTAGTTTATGGAAAAACACTATTAATGATGAACTAGAATCGATAATGTCTAACCTACTTGGGAATTAGTTGACTTTCCTAGGAGATTTAGAACTCTCAGTAACAAATGGGTCTTCCGGAAGAAACTGAGGCCAGATAGACTTTTTCGATATCTACTCTCCCGTAACGAAAATGTCAACGATCCGTCATTATTTGGTTTAGACTCCATTCACAAGTTGCAAGTACATCAAATGGATGTAAAGATTGTATTTCTGAACTGATACTTAGATGAGGAGATCTATTTGGAGAAACCTCTTTGTTGAACTAAGTTTTGATATAATAATTATGGCAAAATGTTTTTGGACTTGAATTGAATTTATTCAAAGTTTTTAAAATTTTAAAAAATAATTTAAAGTCTATTTAAGTTGGAATTGAGCACAATTTTTTTATGAATATTATTGTATGAATAGTATCAATACTGTATGAATAGTATCGATACTGTGTGAATAGTACCGATACTAAAAAACATCAAATGCAAAATGGATACTGATACTACTACAATAGTATCGATACTGCTACAGTAGTATCAAGCCCAACGGTCAAAATTCAAATATTACAAAGGTAGTATCGATACTCATTGAAGAAATATCGATACTACTTGTTCTGGGTAGTTTTATTTTGTAGAAAATGAATCCTCAACGGCTCCAAAACATCCTCAACGGCTAGATACGACTTTAAACTCATTTCAAGCTATAAAAACAAGCTGAGGACACTTGAAGAAGTAATGGAACAACTATCCAAGGAATCAAACACAAGAAAAGAGTTTTTCGATCTTATTTCATCTTTCTCTTGTAAATATTTTGTTCTTGTGAGCTTAATTCTTGTAAACACCTACCTTAGAGAGGTTTTCTTGTTTACATTTCCTTTCATTGTAAAGGGGTTTTGGTTCTAGCTTAGCCTGCTAAAAGTTAGGGAAATGTTCTAGTTTAGCCCGTGAAAAACTAGGGAGTTTGTAAAGGTTATCTCTTTGTCTTGTAAAAAGAAAGAAAAAATTAGTAAATTTGTTAGAAAATCCTTGGTGAGGAGCTAAGATAGTGGATGTAGACTTGGTTGAGAAGTCAAACCACTATAAATCGTTGTGCAATTTTCTATCTTTTAATCTCCTTACTCCCTAAATACAAGAACCAACTCGACCCCTCTTGGTGAACCCTTTCGGTTGTCGATTTGAGCTTCTGCAAATCCTAACACTCTTGGTTTCGAGGCGCCTGCCATGGAAGGCAAATATGGAGACTTAAAAAGTTTATTTATGACCTCAAGCAAGCTCATAAATAGTGGTATGAGAAATTTCAAAAAACTATTCTTAGTTTTAGTTTTGTTGTGAATGGTTTAGATGCATATGTGTATTTGAGGATGTTTGGTATTGATTGCATCATCATAAGTTTATAAGTTGATGACATGTTGATTTTCAGTAACAAAATTGAGTCCATTAACAAAACAAAAGATTTCTTGTCCACTAAGTTTGAGATAACGGATTTAGGAGAAATCGATGTAATCTTAGGAGTCAAAGTTACCAAAAATGAAAAGGGATTTTCTTCAAGTCAAGCACATCATATTGAGAAAGCGTTGAAGAAATTTGACAAATTTGATGTTGTCATTGTTTGAACCCCTTTATGACCCT